AAGGTGTCAGCAGAGCCATCCTTCCTCTGGAAGCTCTAGGACAAGCATGCCAAACTCAAAGGCTAACACGGGCCAAACGAGGCATGTGGCCTGCAGACCGTGAGTTTGACATGCTTGCTCTAGGGCACAGTCCTTCCTTGCATCTTCTAGCTGTTTCTTTCTCGGTCAAATCGTTCTGTTATAAACTATTTACATCTTTGTGGAGAGGAAATCCACTGGAATCAAGCCACATTCTCTAGCCCTATCTCTACCTCCTTATTTTAAAGCAAACACCTTCATCTAGCATCTTGCGCCTATTAATTTTCTTTAAAATATTTTTAATTGAGGTATAATTCATATGTAACATATTAGTTTTATGTGTACAACATGGGAATTGATATTTGCATATATTAGAAGATGATATTTACAATAAGTCTAGTTGACACCCACACCATACATAGTTATACAATATTTTTCTTGAGATGAAAACTTTTAAGATCTATTCTCTTAGCAACTTTTGGATGTGCAATACAGTATTGTTAACTGTAGCCACTGTGCTCGCATTACATTACGTTCCCATGACTTATTTATTTTATACCCGGAAATTTTTTACCTTTCCGCCCTCTTCACCCATTTTGCCTATCCCACTTCTGCCTTTGGCAACCGCCAATCTGTTCTCTGTATCTATGAGCTTGTTTATTTGATCTGAGTGAGATTTAAGCAAGATATGTGAGATCATACTGTATTTGTCTTTCTCCGACTTATTTCACTTAGCATAATGTCCTTAAGGCCCCTTACAGAGACACTTTGCTGGTCCCTACCCTGGGTCCTTGGTTCCATCATCATCCTCATTTTGCGGACGAGGAAATGGAAGCAGAGAATTTCAGTTTGGCCACAGCAATTTGTCCAAATGGTGAACTTTAGATTAGATGTGTTGGACACCAAAATCCCCATTAGAGCTTTTCCTGAACAGCAGAGCAAGAATTGGTGAGGCAGCTGCTCAGCATGCCAGTGTTTTCCCTCCTCCCCCTCAAGGAGTTCTTAGAGGATGACTTCACTCTGCATATGCATGTGTGGGTGCACGGTATGCCATCCGTGTGTGTGTGTGTGTGTGTGTGTGTGTGTGATTAAAGCTTAAGACAGAACTGTAACAGGAGGTGGATGAATTAAATACAAATTAAAAAAAAACCATTTCTGCTTTGAAAGTAGAGGCAGCACAGTGCCAGCAGCATCTTGGAGGCTGTTGGTTGTCATTCAGTAAAAGAGTGATGGGGGGTTGTTACTGCTGTTGATGCCGATGATAGTAGCAGTTGTCGCTGAACGATGACAATCATTTCCAAGTAGAAGAGCAGACCTTATGGGAACAGTTCTCTGTGGCTGGTTCATTTGAACACATCCCAGGAGTTACAGTTCATTGAATGAGTGAGGAGTGTCTGTCCAAGTGTCCTTTTGCACAGGTGTGGAAAGAGTTTGTAAGCCTGAGCAATTTGATCAATGGAGAAATGGTGGTGTGTTCCTCACTTCTCATTCTGAAGTCCCCAGAAAGGCATGGGAGGGACACTGTTCATTCAGTGAGGAATCCAAAGGTGTCAGTTGTCAGTAAAAGGCCAGAAGCCCCTGATGCCTTCTTGGATCCTTTGGAAAGTCAGCCTCTTATTTGCAGGGTGTTTGTGGCCCTTTTCTGCAACATCCAGACCCTTTGCAGTGTTTCTACAGAATCTGAAAGCCTGACAAATGGGTCACACTTTTTAAAAAGAGTTCCAGATGAGGGAGGCCCGAGAGACACACACACACACACACACACACACACACACACACACACACACACACACACACAGAGAGAGAGAGGGAGAGAGAGAGAGAGAGAGAGAGAGAGAGAGAGAGAGAGAGAGAGAGAGAGAGAGAGATTGATTCCAGGTATAGGAATTGCCTAACATCTGCCAGAGCTCCAGGCTCTATGTTTCAACTATTGTTTAAAGGATTTGGGGGAAATTTGGTCAGAATGTATATGAGAGAGATTATGATTTTATAGGTCTATTCCTGAAATTTTTTTTCTGTAGTTATTTACAATGATTGGGGGAAGACCTCTGCATTTTAAGAAAAGCTGTTAAGTAATATTTTATTTGCAAAAAATGTCCTATGTGTTTTTCTACAAAGACTTGAGGATATTTGTTGGTTAATAATAGAAAGTGTTTTTTTTTCTTTTCTTTCAATTTTACCCGATCCTTTGGCATCCCCACCACCATTTCTGGGCAAGGTCTCAAAGTGCAGAGGAGAACGTCTGTCTCTGCTTTACAAATGCCTGTTCCTCTCCCTGTGTTCTCACTGTTAACCAACTACCAAATGATTAAACCCCAGGACCTGCTGACGCAGAACAGGGCCCCTGAGCCGCCCTGTGGAGACACTTGGCCTCCGCAGCCCTGGCTGGCAGGTCAGGGACGGCTGTTAGAAAGGACCCCTGCCATTTCCTGGGCAATTATATGCTCCCGGCATTTTTTAAGTTGATTTTTTCGCCTTCTTTGGTACTCAGCCATTTTCTAATTTTTGGCACTTACATAGCTGAGTAAAATGTTTCACAGTGTGGAGTTGTTGAATTGAATTTGGTCTTCTCCATCTTCTTCCTCCCATCTCCCACTCCCCACTTTCCTTCTCCAGATAGGAGTGTTGGTCCCTGCAAAACAAAAACTCACATTTAAACAGCGTGGCCTGTGCCTGTGAGCGTATCACCAGTACCCTGTCTTACCATCTGCTACCTAGAGAATGGAGACAGAGGTCAGGAACTTAGTGACTTTTTAGGTATGACTTAGCAACAGCATTTATGAAAGGATTTAAGAATGTTCGTTTGTTGTAAACTCAAAGTAAATTAATCTTGAGATGAGGCTGCTTGGGGGAAGCAAAAATTATGTCCAAAGTGAGGCTGTTGATGGTCCCCTCACCAGAGCAGATATGGCAACCCCTGAGACTCCATGCTCCAGGAAACACAGAGCAGACAGGAATAAACCCAGGTCATTCACAACTGTTTCACCTGAGGAGCAGTTAAAAGAACGGGGACTTTTTATTTAGGGACGACTCAGAAGGACTATAGCACTCTCTTCAAATGATGGAAGGGCTCTGTGTATAGGAGAAGCATGAGACCATCTGGAGCTTTAGATGCTGGAATAAGGATGACTGAGTGGAAGGACTTCCTGCCATCAGGGGTTCTCAAAGATGGCTGCCTGGGGTGCTGCCTGGGAGCCTCATGGCTTGGTCCTTTGCGATGAGTGCGAGTTCTGGTTTGTATCTAATGAACTCAGATAACTAGTAAAGCCAGCCCAGGGCATGATAAGCAGATATGACTAGGTAGGAGAAAAGAATGACAGCTCTAGTATGGGACCATCTTCTGTGGTCCGACTTTCCCCAATTTACCTTAAGTTGGCTTTCATTTTTCTGCTTTCTCTAAGATATTTTCCCATACCTGCTGAAAATTTGGGAGGTTGTGCTATAGAAATAAAAACACAGCTATTTAATGATATATGCACAATTATATAAATACATATATCCTTGTGCATATGTTCTCTTCTAACTATACTAGAGGCTATTATAAATATACATTTGTGCATTGGGGGAGCTGGAGAGAGGGAGAGTCCCTCAGCCAGGCCGTGTCCTAATCACAGTTCAAGACCTCTTGGGGGATGTTCACCTGCCACTCCCACCACCCCTGTTGGAGCCCAGCTTCTGAATGAGCTGTGCTCCCCCTGTGGGAGCCCACTGACCACCATGGGGCAGCTCCTGCATTGAGCATCTGCCCCTGGTGGTCAGTGCACGTCATAGTGACCATTCTGTCTTTAGTTGATTTGCACATTAGCCTTTTATTATATAGGATGCAACATTTTAAATATGTAAAAATTTAAAAATATACATATATCTTTTTATAAATATATACATGTGAATAGCAAGATACTGCTGTTTTCCAGTCTAGCAGATGCGTTCTTTCTAATTATTTTTAAGAATTATTTTCCCTTTTTAACTATTATACATTCATATTTGATACTGATAGTCCTTTCTACATAAAGAATTTGCCTGCATACAGAAGAGCTGCAGACATTGTAGAATTGGCTGGTGATTTAACCCATGCTTATGAGAGAGGATTTGGGGGAGAATGAATGCAGTTTCATTGATACAGACTCAGAGCTGATGCCAAGTAAGCCACTCTGATACAAAGGAAAGAAATGAGTGGTAATATCAGATCTGCAGAAATAGAAATACTAGCCATTGTATGCATCTTACTGCACTTGTGTGCATTTATTAGGTTAACACTGCCATTCAACAGTGGTCTTAAAATTAAACGTGTCAAGAAATTCTATAGAATCCCCTTAGCTGGTCATTGGGTTCTGGGTATTTAATGCAATTAGAATATTACAGAATAATGGATCTCAACCAAAATTTCAGTCAGACAAATTAGGAAGTTAAAAAAATATTTTCATACAAGTGACTGCCACATAGAGAGATAACACTAAACTATTATGAAAAATATATAAAGTAGGATCTGTGCATGGCTGATTCCATTTTAAAAATCTCAGTTTTAGTTCCAAGGCACTGTCACTTTGGAAAACTAGTCATGTGCAGTGACATCTTCACACCTCATGGACTTGGCCAAAAACCTGAGCAGTGCTTATGGGCAATTTCTCACAAGGGTGTGGGGAGAATCAGAAGAGAAAATGTTCTCTGAAGCTGTGACCAAGAGAGGAGGAAGGAGGGAAAGGGCGCTGTGAAGCGAAAATATGTGCTTTGGGACGACAGTGCTACGGGAGAAGTTCAGGTCACATTTATGACCCCCCCCCCCCTCCTGCCTCTGGTTTGGGCATCCTATCAAGAGTTTTGAGTTTTCTTGGATATGATTCCTGCTTCATCCAGAAAATCACCCTCTCTCCTGCTCCCTCCCCAGGCTAAGCTGGGAGGCCTCATGGCTGACTTTCCTGAATGTTTGAGTCCATGGTTTTGCTGCTTTTCTCATGCCTTTTTTTTTTTTTATGATGTTTCAGCTCATCCACCATACACCATGTGCTTTAGAGTGAAATTCTACCCACATGAACCCCTGAAGATTAAAGAAGAGCTCACAAGGTATTTTTCATTTGTTTTATGTTTAACATTCCTGCCTCTCCCCCTCCCCCCCCCCCACCCTCCCAAACCATCCGGGTCATCTGAGCCTTCCAGGCTGGATGTGCCTCAGCAATGCGGGCCCTCAGCTCAGGATTCTGTCTTGGAATGTTTCTCTTGTACTTAATTGTCTCAGGATTTTTCAAACACTTGTCATGGGGAGTGCAATTAAGTGCACAGAAAGGCAGTGGTTATAAGGAGGAGGTACTCTCTGCAAACATCTGACAGTAGGGTGCTAAAAATAAATAGAAGATGTCGGTCTTTAGGAGTGAAGCCCCGAGGGCCTATCTTCTGGATCTCAGCTTTTCTGGGAGGGAAGGGACCACTTGATAGAATGGACTGCTTGTCATCCTGCATTCCACTCACTAAATGACTGACGGTGGGGCCAGCTTCCCTTTCCTTGTAGACTCTTCTCAGCCCAGCTCTCTAAATTTTCCTATTCTCCAGCCTCCCCACTGCTGAGGCCACGTACTGGGGGTTTTGCTTCCGTGAACAGTGTGGGCCAGCACAGCTGGTCAGGGTCCCAGAGGGGCCTATTCAGTGGACAGGGAAGAGCCATTCTGAGTTAAGCTCTTGATGAGGCTCTGATTTGATGATCGCAGAAATCACTCTGCATAATTATCTCTCAAAATAACCTCCGCAGGTATGAATGCAGCAGAGAAACAAGTGCAGTTTGCTGACCCTCATGTGCAGGGGATGTGCTGGGTTCTTGGATATTTAGCTTTCTACTCCTCAAATGTGTGGTAGAGCTTGACCGTAAAGGCACTGAGAGTGCAGATGGTTTCGTTCTCTATTATGAACTAGTACACAGTGGTTTAGTGAGGGTTGTGCTTGGTGGCAGGGACAGGAACAGGTGTGGAAAGGAGAAATACATACATAATGGACATTTTAAGTGGTGGTTCATATTTTGCAATCTGGCCTTTTCTGTGTGTGTATGTGTTTTTAAATTGAGGTAAAATTTATATAACATAAGTGGATTTCACCATTTCAAAGTGTACAATTCATTGGCATTAAGCACATCCACAATGTTAGGAAACCATCACCACTGGAGAGATCTGGAACATTTTCTCACCACCCCAAAGGAAACACTAGCAGTCAGTACTCAGTCTCCTCTCCCCCAGCCCCTGGGAACTGCTAATCTACTTGCTGTCTTTATGGATTTACCTGTTCTAGATATTTCATGTAAATGAACTCATGCCATAGTTGGCCTGCTCATGGCTAAAAAATTTATTCATTTATCTGCTAAATTCTCTTTCAGTTCTCATTCTTCATTTAGTCCAGGAAACAGGGGCTTCTGAGCTTCCAAAGAAAGAGAGAGATTTGTCCTGCTTTCTGGGTGGTGCTAACAGTATGATTTGGAAAACCACCAAGGGCCCAAATGGCTCACTTTTGTCATTTGTGTTCTCTATAATCTTGTGTGGAGGACAAAAATTGATAGTATCACAATAGAAATTAACAATAGTATCTTCTGTGGTTGAGAAAAGTCCCCTTTGAAAGTAAGAGAGAACAAAGTTTTAGCTAATAACCTGAGTTAAATCCCTCTCGATTAACTTTGCTAGCATTTACAGGCATTTGCTTAAATAGTCAAGGTCTGAATAGTGGAAAATTGTGAACATATTTATGACTCTTAAGGAAATTAAGACGACGCTCAGTTCTTGCACAGTACAGATGAGCTTGTCTTAGTCATTATCATCCTTAGCATTCAAAACAAATTTGAAAAACTGTGCAATGCTCAGGCGTTTATGGTTTAAACCCTATCTTGAAACAGTTTAGTTTTTCTTGTTTGAGAAATTATTTTATTGTAAGATTAATCTAAAATTTAAAGATGAATTCAAGAGAAGTTAAGAACACATTTATAACCATGCTTAGGGGTAAAGAAATATTGGGGAAAAGGGAAGACTTAAAAGAGGAAAACCACACAAATACAAAAAAGACTTTTGAAATAATTTTCATCCTTTACCTTTGCATTTATGCTGTTATCTTACAATGCCCCCCCCCCCTTGTAAATGCTGTATACGGTTAAATATCAAAGTACTTTGGTTTTAATGTTTTAGTCAGAATCAAGTTTAAATTCAGGCCAGGCAGAGAAGCAATATCATTAATGGTGGCACAATAATGGAAGCCCAGATCCTTTCGGCGCATAATCCTTTCATTCTGCAGGTGATGCAAAAGGAAGAGGCATCATTATTATTATTTCAGTGGCTATTGTGTTTAAACAATGAGCACCTGAACCTGAAGCCATTTTGAAGGCTCAGTGGATTATGTCAAATCCACAATAATCCATGATTATCTCTGGAGATGACTGATATGAGCAAGCACCCAGGCTCTGATGCCGTGAAAGCTGATTTTTTTTTCTTTCTCCGGAAGCTTTTGTCCAGCTGGAGTTCTTACAGGATTAGAACCCAGACCTCTCGTTCATCAGGAAATAGTGATTGGAAACTCTTTTTTTACTGCTAAACTTATCACAAAGTCGCAAGCAATGCTTTCTGTTCAGTGCATACGGTTAGCAGGTAGAAAAGAAACTCACGGCATTTGCCCAGGTAGTCCACCCTCTTTTTTAGAGGAAAGATGTGATCACTTTCTAGTACTGTGCGACCTTGCAGAGCGAGGTCTCACACCAGCAGCAGCACCTGAGAATTGGGACACGGTAATCTCTATTGTCATAGCCCTGCAGCCTGTCAAAATTCAGAAACCACTATTCTAAGGCAATTTGGATTTTCAAAAGTATTCATTTCTTTTGGCAAATATTACAGTGTACACTTAAATGGGTCTAATATGATCACAACCTTGTACCACCCTCACCACTATCTAATTCCAGAGGATTTTTATCACCCCAGTGGGAAACCCCATACCCCAGCAGTCCTTCCCTGGCAGCCACTAATCTACTTTCTGCCTCTAAAGATTTGCCTATTCAAGACATTTCATGTAAATAGAATCATCATATGTAGTATTCTGTGACTGGCTTCTTTGCACTTAGTGTAATATTTCCAAGATTCATCCCTGTGGTGCATGAATCAGTACTTCATTCCTTATGTGGCTGAATCAGATCCCATTGCATTCACCTGTCTTTTACCTTTTCATTGGTTGATGGGCATTGGGTTTTCCCACTTTTTAGCTACTCTGAGTAATGCTGGTGTGTCCCTACTGTGCCTTCTCCCCTGGCTGAATTGGGTGCAAGTGTATTTTTTTTTTTTTTTCTGTTCGATGCCCCAGGAATTTTAAAAATAAAATTTGTAGCAACATTTAAAATTCAAAGGGTTTTTCACTTTTCAATGAAAGAAATTCTAAACCTAAAGGAAGGTGTAAAGAATGTATGATGAGCCACGCTTTTGAGGGCCAGTCCCAGAAGTGACGTCTCCTCAAGGGAATGAGACAATGCTCCCGAGGAATAGCAGTTTCTTTGACTAGACTCAAAGAAGACACAGGAAAGGTTTGCATGAAATCCAATGGTTGCAGATGGCGGAGGCGGAAGGGAGCGAAGCAGAGAAATCTCTAGGATGGATAAAAAGTAAAATGAAAGGATACATTCTTCTTTTACATCGGTGGGCGCAGGACAGTTTACCTTTAGCCTACATAATGTGCAGAGGTATGTGGGTAAAGAGAATAATGAAGAATGTTGGGGTTTTTCACCCCTCGCCAGTATTTATCTCTGGAGGCCTGGAGAAGAGATCACAATGACACTTTAAGTATGTTATTCTAGTGCACAAAAACAGTAGATGAAGGTACCACACAGGCCTTGGAATGTGATCTCCCCCCGTAACCCATTCAGTTGGGAATTTCTTATGATTGAACATCTCGTGTGGTTACTTTCAGTTACTGAGTTGTCATGCTTGCTAAGGGAGCCCCTTTTGATCCACAATTTCTAAACCCAGCCCCTGATTTCCTGAAAAGCTGGATGCATTGAGCCTGTTTTTTATGCAGTAGCATCAGGCTGGGACTATGTAGCGGCTGACCCCTTCATGGGGTCAGCGCTCTCCATTCTGCTTCCCCGGCCTCCTTATGCCAGCTACTTTCACTCCTTGTCAGGTTTGCCTGGCTCTGCAGGCATCTGGGTTTGCTGTCCCTGCAGTGGGGAGAGGACACGAAATAGATGACAGCTTTAGTTATGAATTAATTTGCTTTCTGGCCTCATAACAAAGTCATCTTGAGATTGATGTCTGTGAGTCTGTGTCCTGGAGACTGGTTTCTGTGCACTGACGGTACCCATTAACTGACATGGGAAACATGTACCTGTGGTGTCATCCTGTGGGACCTCCTGCCAGGAACCGTGGCTGCTGGCCCTGTGGCTTTCCTTGGCCTTCTCATGTCTTCTTGGAAGAGGGCCAGCCACCCAGCTTTGGAAGCTGCCACAGACCCTTGGCTCTTCTCTGGATCCTGGGCCCCCTCCTCCCCCACCCCATTTTCTCCGCTGGCCCTCCAAGGGGTGGGCATGTCTCAGCCACTCCTGGAGCTGCGTAGGGTGCTGCTGATACAGGTGGATAGAACATGAGCAATCACTGACACTTAGGGGGACTCTTTCCTTTGTATTGCAGGTACCTTTTGTACCTGCAGATTAAGAGAGATATTTTCCACGGTCGATTACTCTGCTCCTTCTCAGATGCTGCCTACCTGGGTGCATGTATCATTCAAGGTAAGTTGAACTGGACTATAGAGATTTGGCTGTTCAGAGATGCCCCTCCTTCTCCCTCCCCATGCCTGTCCTGCTGGTGTCCATGGTTTGAGGCCAGGCAAGCCTGGGTACTCGGTACCAGAGCCCCTGGTTATCTTTCCTCTCAAGCCAGCAGAGTCTGATGGAAGTCTGGGCTGTGGTGGTCACAGAGGCCTCTGCAAAAACAAAGGGTCCTCCAGGCCCATGGCCGAGCTCAGAATGTGTGACTTCATGAGGAGCTCTGAAGGATTGTGAGTGTTCTATGCTCAGAGTGCCAAGTGCTGACGTGGATCATGACAGTTATCTGCTGACCACAATTCTAAGCTTCATTCGCAGTTGGAGAGAGATCCATCCTTTTTGTGGGGTTGTGATAGGCAGACCTGTCCCTGGGGGATGCTCTGTGCTGGGCTATGATTTTGGGAGGTGGGTGCCCTCTGAGAATTCTAAAGGTTGTGTCTTTGCTGATGCTCCCCTTCCCCAGGGAGCAAGCTAGTGCTGCACAGCAGATTTTGGCAGAGGTGTGGACACCCTGGGGGATAGTCACATTGAAAGTCAGAACAACAGTGATACCGTGATGGGAAAGGTCCTTTCGCCTGCCCAGAGGCGGTTCACGTGCTTCTGAAAGCCACATCTCTCACATCAGCGCTAAGGAGGCGGAAACCCATAGTTCTCCCCGTTCCCCGGGAGGAAGGCAAGTTCCCAGCCAGGGAGCACTGTGTTCTCTAAAGGAGACGTGGATCGATACTAATCTGAGCAGCAAAGTCACACGTGAGGATTTCAGAACGCAGCCAGGCATTTGTGAATAATGGTCAGCTCTCCAAGGGCAAGCTCAATCCGGGTCTGTAATGGGAGACTCTCCTTCCTGTTTATGTTTGAGATAAAGTCACCAAGGCTTCATCCAGAGGATGGGGGGGGGGGGCGGGGGGGGGAAGGACGGGGGAATAAGTAAGGGGGGGAGGGGGCTTTAGTTGTCTCATTGTGTTCTCATTGACCACACACAGATGCCGTGGAGAAAGTAGAGTTGCAAATGGACTGCTGACCTCCAAAGGATATTTCAGCTAGAAAAATGCAGTGGTGTCCATGGGCCATTTATAGCGAGCCCAGCAAAAGCAGATCCATAAAGTTCTGTGGTGCTGGGGCCATTCTTCAGCAGCTCTGGAGATCGATCGTTACAAATGCAGATAAAGATCTGCTTTGTAGGAACTGCTTATGCTTATGGATAGTGATGGGGAAAGTATTTAAAGGATTAGAAGGCGGAGGCCATGTGACTTTTCATTGGCTTCTCTTCTGCCCATGCTTTTTTTTTTTTTAAAATTAATTTAAATTTTCTATTGTTGACACTATTGCAGATGTCCCCCATTTCGTGCCCCACCTACTTTCTCATCTTCCCCAGGCCCTCCCCACACTATTGTCTGAGCCCATGGGCGCTGCATATAGTTCTTTAGCTAACCCCTTCACCTTCTTTAACAGTCAGCCCCCCAACCCCTCCCCTTGGACATTTGTCAGTCTGTTCCATGTATCCATGTCTCTGGTTCTATATTGTCCTTGCGTTTATTTTGTTTGTTAGACTCCACATATTAGTAAGATCACATGGTATTTGTCTTTCTCTGATTGGTTTATTTTACTTGCCAATACTCTTTGAAGGAACATGCTCTTAGCTTCTGTATATTCTGAGTGTATTAAAACCAGGCAGCCACCCGAGTTTTGCCACTTGTATGTATTGAACACAATGGGCATATTCAGTACATGCCACACATTTTCTTTCATATGAAAGACAAATTACAAAACACACAGGACCCTAGGGACCTATTTCCATTCTTCCTCAGTAAAAATGCCTTTCCTGTTCTTTCTACAGCATAGCAACAGGGCAGGATTCTTGTTCTTATCTCCTCTGCCTGGTGTGTTCAATCCCATGGGTCTGTGGCTCCTACTAGAAATTCAGACCTCAGTTCAGAGGTCGCTTCCCCTGAAAAGTCTCCCTGGATACTGAAGTAGCCTCCTGTCCCTCATTACATCATCCTTTTTCATACCCATTTTGCTGTCTTTTAAGCACTTAGATCTGAAATGACCACGTTAAGTTGTTTGGGGTTTATTATGCATCCCCTTTACCCTCGTGTAGAATCTAAATCCCATGGAAGTGGGTCTCTGGGTGGATTTTTCACTGTAGGACCCACTTGTGTTGGGCACACAGTAAGTCCTCCACTCAATATGTGATGTGAGCCAGGGCTCTTGTCTAATTGTACCAATATAAGCTTTCTTCTTCTTTTCTGGAAAGCGTGGTTGGTTCCCTATCTCATTCACTTATTTGTTCTTGTGTTCTCTGAGCATGTACTGAACAGCTGCTAGGTGGCAGGCAGTGTAACACAGAGTCCCCAGGGGTGAGGTGGGAGGAGATAGACAGGTAAACAGACAGTTGTGATATGTGTTAATGGCTAAATAGCACATCTCCCTGCTAGGACCTCCGCAGCGCCCCAGTCCAGCAAGAGCAGACAGGGAAGGCTCCTGAAGAAGCTAGCCCTGACGCTGTAACATCCTGCATCTCAAGATCTTTTGTGATTAGTCCTCTCCACACCAGGGGAAAGCCATTGTCGAGCTTGTTCTGTCTATTTGCCATCACCTGATCACGCTCATCTGTTTGCTCCAACTCTGGTTTGTTCAGACCAAGAATTCTCTTCAAAAATGAGCTGGGACCTGTTTCAGCCATCCAATGTGTTGCATGCCATTTGTCAGAAATTGACCCTCAATGTCTGTGTAGAAGAGAGAACCATAGGCTGGTTACCCAACTCCTCTTGGTATGGAAAGCAAAAATTGAATAGTTAGAAATCCTTAATCACGTATAAACTGCCCTTTGCTCCAGGTGAAGTCAGAGTTAAAGACAGGCAGGCAGTGATAGGAAAGCAGGGACTGTGGTGAGGGAGGTGTTGGAGTTTACCTGGTCAGCAACCTTGTGCAGGTTCCATGGTATTTCTTCTTAGTCTTCACACATTTTCCAGGCTACTTGTTTGCAGTGTTGAGTCCATTGTTCCTCACAAGTTTTCCTGGAGAGAGAAGGCCTCCTCCCATCCCCGTCCCCAAACCAACCAACCAACCAACCAACCAACCAACCAACCAACCAACCAACGCACCCTCTAAACAACCACTATGCAAGCTGGCATTTGCATTGAAGACCCAGTTTCCTGTCAGTGGTCCATTTCATTGGATGAGCTTATTCCTATGGGAAATGGCTACATTAGGTTATACCAGTTCCTAAACTTTAGGTCCATTGTCAGCTCACAGTTTGTATGTGTGGGTGTGTTTCTTTTGAAACTCTGTTGAGCTAATTATTAGTTTAATGATCCATTCTGATCATTGATCCCTTTAGGCCTCTTATGTTTGATTGAATGATTGATTGATTAACCTTTTTCATTATTTTCCATTTCCATTCTTATTGACAACAATGAGGTTCATACATATCTTTGACTTTGCATATAGTACAACCTTATAAAAATTATTAGTATTTAGTAAATATGTACTTTAAAGTTTTATAAATTAAACGAGACTATAGAACTCATTTTATTCCTTTTTATGCTCAGAACATTGTTTTGGAAGTCTATGTTGCTAGGTATACATCTTTTTTGTTGCTTTTAAATGCTACAGGTATCCGGAAAGGTATATCACCCTTATTTTATTTATTGCTCCCACTGACAGTGAACATTCAAGTTGCCAACATATTCTTTTTTTGCAACCAGAGTTTTTCTAGAATATATGCCCAGAAGTGGGATTGCTGGGTAATAAATTTGACTAAATACTCCCAGCTGTTCTCTAAAAGAGCAACATGTATCAAGAATCTTTCAAATGTGTACAAGTATTTGCATTTTCTCATATCTCTGCCTGACTTCCCAAAATTGTTGTGAATCTTACAGGTGTAAAATGAATCCTAGTTGTTCTGGTTTGTGTGGCTCTGAGTATGGATGGGTTTGGGCATCTCTCCATACACTCACCCTTTGGGTTTCCCCTATTGTGAACTGGCTGTTTATATCCTTTAACCGATTTTCTGTTGGTCTTCCTGCCTATTTTCCCATTGATTTGTAAGGATTTCTTTTTTATTCTATTTTGCAAATATACTCTTTCAACTTGTCATCTATTATTTTGACTATGATACCTTTAATGAATAGAAATATTTAAAATGTTGATACAATCAAATCAATTTCCTACCAATGGTTGATGGTATGTTAAGTCTTATTTTAAAAGTTCCTCCTCATGTGGTAGACATTTTAGGTTGTTTTAAGAGCTCTGTAATTTGAATTCTATTAAGAAGCTCTAAAGAGCTTAGCTTTCCTCCCAGTTTTGTCCTATAGTCATTAGATGATTCAACAAGGAAGGGACAGTAGATAGAAATTACAGAGTTGTATGTGATTTGCAGATGGCCCAAGGCATCTTGATTTTAAAATCTATTTCGAAGTCATGGTGGTGCTCAAGTTTTCTAATACAATTTCCCCACCATCTTTGATCTACTTCCTGGGCTATTTTTGCCTGAAACACTTGCCCCTTCCTTGTTCATTTTCCTTATCAAACTCATGGAATCAGTAGAATACATTCCTGGCCAGAGCATCACCTTTGCTGCTCCCGGCTGCGGTCCATGCACATTAGGTCCATCCTCTTCAGGGTGCTCAGTGAGGTGCAGGCATTTCTAAGGTGCCCTCCTTTAGAATCCAGCAACAGCCTTAATCTGGTTTGCTCCTCCATACTTTGAGACACACTCTTTAATTTAAGAGCAGTCCATTTATTTTTACGTGCAATCCTCTTGGGTGCCTTTATGTTGTGACTTTTCATTGAACGAGCCATACCTACACACACATCAGAGCAGGCAGCTCCAGCCAGGGGACTCCTAGACTCAGAGAAAGTTAGCTCTGAGAGGAACCACAAGGGACGGTTCAGTGTTTCTCAGTGAGAGGTGGCATACCACCTCCTATCCCAGAGCATTTAGAAATATTGGGGGGAGCATTTTTGGCCATCACAATGACTGCCTGTGCCACTAGCACATAGTCCCTGAAGGGTAGGGATGCTAAATGTCCTCCTATGCCCTGGGAGGTCTAATAAAGAATTGTTTAACCCCCATGTGCCCCATTGAGAAATAATGACTCAAATCCATTTATTGTGTAGATAAAGAAATAAGGCTCAGAGAGGCTGGTGAGTGTCCAGACTCACACAGCTAGATCTGAACTAGGATATACGCTTCCAGACACTCAGGCTGTGGTCTGTGGATACAAGTACATTTCATTGGATGAGCTTATTCCAAGCTCTTCTTTTGGGTGCTGGAGATATCCCATGAGCACCCTGTGGATGTTTTTAATCTTTTTCTCTGTCTACTTTTTACTGCTTACAGCTGAGCTCGGTGATTACGATCCTGATGAGCATCCTGAGAATTACATCAGTGAGTTTGAGATTTTCCCTAAGCAATCACAGAAGCTGGAAAGAAAAATGGCAGAAATCCATAAAAGCGAGCTCAGGTAATTGGGGTAGACGTTTGTAAACATGCAAAAGCATTCTCACCGTGGGGAATGTGGAAGCCATGTTGTGAAGTAAGAATGTCTGTAAGGTATGGGCAGACTGTTCCAGGTGTCAGAGCAATATTCCTGGCACTGTCAAGTTCTTCTTATTAATAATGATCGCAACAGTGTGGGGCCCCCTGGGTGGCTGTTTATGAAGCATCAGCAGTTATTAGAGCCATATATTTTCTTATGGGTTTTTGCCACCGTGAGTTTCTGGAAATGAAATGTAGGGTAAATCGGTAACCTGTTTTGCGGTTTGCACTATCTCTTTTCTTCCTGTGGCCATTGCTGGAAGCATTGACTCCATGTAGAGGAGAATCCCTTGAGAGGGTTTCCTTTGCTGAGCTGTTCTCAGGGCGACAGATTCAGTGCCCTCTCTTCTTTTTCTTGTCTGCGATGCTCTAGGGCAAGTGCTCAGCAGGGCAGTAATGGCAGGAGTAGAAAAATCACATGCAGTATCCACTGTGTCCAACACTCTTCTAAATAGTTGCACATATCAACTCACTTAATTTTCACAACAACCTAGGAGATAGGCACCGTGGTTATTCCCATTTTATAGATGAGGGAGCTGAGGCACAGAGAGATTAGGTATCTGACTCAGGATCACACAGCTAGCAAGTGGCAGAGGCTGGATTTGAACCCAGGCCACCTGGCTCCAGAGTCTGTGCTCTTAAGCTTTGTGTGATGCTTCCACTTAGCAGAGGCTACCAGGGATGAAATGTAGCACTGGTAGGAATCATCGGCAATTTTGAATTCAGGCAACTCAATTTTTCTAGCCTGAATTAGAATTCAGATCTGTGCAAGTTTCACAAAAATTCATTATGATAATCATAGCAAGCTTGGATCTCTGGTAAATATTAAAAACAAAAACAAAAAAACAACCTTAGTGTCACTGGTTTGTGAATTCTGGAACAAACTGTCCCCTGTGAAGGAGTGCTGGAGCTTCCTATTTTATGCTGGCACTCCCCCTTCTGGTGAGTCTGAGAAGAGCATATATGCGGGCATTAAGGTGGCAGCATATTTCCCCTCAGATGATTAGATATAAAAAAATCGTGCCAATTGCAGAAAGCAATATATATTCTCTCTAGGTAATTTAGAGTATTGTTTCCTAATGCGAAACTTTGCTGAAAACATATGACAATCTGACTACTCTTACATTTCGGGACAAGGGTACTCAAGGTAAAAATAAAGTTCCAATATCCAGTTGATGGGTGTGTGGGCCAGCAGTGTCTGGTGAGCACAGGGTGAGACCCTTTGGATAAAGGACTCACATCCAGTGTGTGGATTGGTAGGAGATGGGATTGAAAGGTCTGTTGTAATCAGAATTTGCAAGGCCATCAGTGCTTGGAACATATGATAACTATAAAGATTTATTGAGCACTTACTGGATGCCAAAACACTGTGCTAAGAGTCTTATTTGTATTACCCACTCAGACTCTGGGAGGTAGGTGCTCTTGTTGTTCCCAGTCCAAGGTGAAGAGAGCATACTTGGAGTGTCTGAAGGATTTGCCTTGTGAGCAGCAGTCAGGACTTGAGCCTTGCTATTATCTGAAACTAACACACAAGTGCTGAGCAGGCAAAAAGCAACCAGGTGGTTTAACTAGTGGTTTGGCAGCTGTGGTGGTTTTCCACAGCGATCAGTTTTCCACAGCGATCACCCTGGCACTGGCATCAGAGGGTGAAACTGTGGGCAGGAGTACCTCTTAGTCATTTCTGCTGTCCAGGCAAGAGATGGCATGGATCTGAAAAAGAACAGGAATAGAGAACATTGAAGGATGTCTCAAGAGTCATTGTAGAAAGACTTATTGACCCACTGGATTTCATGAGTGAAGGACTGAATCAAGATGCCAGATTGTTTTTTATAATCAGAAAGCTGCAGATTGGCCCTTGTGCCAGCATCTGAATTTGTTGATAACCCTGAAAGTGGTCATCGTTCATCTAGGGAACAGAGAGGGTTGCCAAATAACCATGGTTTACTACATTTCGGAAGTAAATGCCACAGCTTGATCAAGGGTGCCGTTTGGTGCCACTACACATTTGTAACATCCAAATGTGAACTTTGTAAAGAAGTTAAAGTTGCATGTCTGAGAGATGAAATAACTAGAAACCACATGGCATTGCAAGGAGAACTGCAGAGGGTATTTTCCTATGCATTTTGCTAATAATCTAGTAGTCCTGCATTTCCTGCAGCATCGGTGCAGAAGAGTGATTTTAGGTTGGGATGGGGAGATAAGACTAGAATAAGCTGATGGTGCAGGGGAAGGAAGGGTGTGCTTTCTAGAATCGGTTGGAACCCTGCTGCAGAGACTCAGGTCACTCTGGGGGTTCAGCAAGCCCTTTGTAGGTTGTAAAATTGTTGATTTCCCCTAAGAATTGGATTGCTCTGCCATCCTGACAGTGTCAGGAAGGAGCTGTGAATGGAAGAGAGCATTATGAGCCTGCATTGAGGTGTCACCATCTTATTCTCCAAGGCTGTCACAGCACCCATGACTCTCCCACACAGCAAATGGGTGATGTGTGATCATTGATCTGTTGTTAAGGAAACTTCCTAAGAGGATCCAGTTGGCCTTTGTTGGGGGTTGAGTGCTCCCCCAAAATAACTTCCTGTCTTCTACCTGGTTTCTGAACCAGTTGAGCAAAAGAGATGGTAATAGAGACACTCAGACATGAGCAGAAATGATGATGTATAGTGGAATATATATATATATATATATATATATATATATATATATATATATATATTTTTTTTTTTTTTTTTACCTATGGGGTTTCACCACCTCCTGCAGCCTTCTTTATTTGATTAGACTCGGTCTCCTTCTGTGTTCTCCGAGGAAGGGATGAGAGCTGTGAATCTTGGGAGAAAATAAATCAGCTAGGAAGGAGAACCCTCCCCGCTCTCCAGGAGGCTACTCACTGCTTGAAGGTAGAACAAAGATGGCTTGAGAGGCATGAATAAGAGACTCCTTTAGGGGAAGAGAGTGTGAAAGAGGGGCTCAGTGGAATTTTGAGGTGCTTGAAAATAGAAGATCAAGATTTCAGTAAGAGTTTCCATGTACTAAGTGCTCAGACTCCTTTTATTTTTGAGCGAAAAGCGAAATTCATGGCCTGGTCAACTTTGCTTCATTAAATGTGTCGTAGCCTTGACTGAACAGGAGGGTCGGAATGAGAAGTCACAATTTTGTAAATATAATAACAATTTATTGGTCTTTTCTGTGTCAGTCAAGAAAAGCTAGATATTGCTGGGGAAACAACCACTAAAGCTCAAAAGGTTTAGAACAAATAAGACATTTCTTTTGTGTGTTCACCAGATGTTAGCAGGGGTGCAAGGGGGAGACCCAAGCTTGATTTTGCCAGTTGTTGAGCTAAAGGGAAGAGGGATCTGGAGATGCTGCTTCAGCTTGGAAGTGATACATGTCCCTTCCACTTACCTACTATAGTCAAATGTCCTACCCAAGAGCAGGGAACTGCGATTCTATGAGGTATCCAGGAGGTGCAAACTGGAAACAGCTGGCAAATAGCTCTTAGTGGCCTTCACAATATCATTAATTAGTAGTTTGTTTTTTTTAAAATAGACTTTATTGCCTGACTGGTTTGGCTCACTGGATAGAGTGTCAGTCTACAGACTCAAGGGTCCCAGGTTCGATTCTAGTCAAGGGCATGTACCTTGGTTGCGGGCACTTCCCCAGTGGGGGGTGTGCAGGAGGCAGCTGGTCGATGTTTCTAACTCTCTATCCCTCTCCCTTCCTCTCTGTGAAAAATCAATAAAATATATTTAAAAAAAATAAAATAGACTTTATTTTTTAAGAGCAGTTTTAGATTCATAGCAAAATTCACTGGAAGGCCCAGAGATTTCCCCTGTACTCGCTGTGTCGCCTCCCCCAATATCAATGTTCTCCCACCAGAATGGTACATTTGTTACAACTGATGAACCTACAGGGACACATCATTATCACCCAGAGTCCATAGTTTACCTTAGGGTTCAGTCTTGATGTTGATATTCTATGGGTTTGGACAAATGTATAATTGCATACATCTAGCAATATCATATCATATAGAATACGTTCACTGCCCTAAAAATCCTCTGTATTCTGCTTATTCATCATTCTCCACCCTCACCAAGCCCTGACAACCACTGACATTTTTACTGTCTCCATAGTTTTGCCTTTTTCAAAATGTTGTACCGTTGGGGGTCCATACAGATTGACTTCTTTTACATAGGTAATATGCATTTAAGATTCCTACATGGCTTTTCATTGATAGCTCATTTTATTGCTGTATAATATGCAATTGTTTAGATGTAGCACATTTTTTTTTTGTCCATTCACCATACTGAAGGACATGTTGTTTGCTTCCAAGTTTTTGGATTAGCTTCAGACATAGGCCATTGGCAATTATAAACATCTATGTGCAGGCTTTTGTGTGGGCATATATATCCATCTCCTTTAGGCAAATACCATACCAAGGAGAGCAATTTCTGGGTTATATAGTTAGAGCATATTTCGTTTTCTAAGAAACTATCAAACTGTCTTCTAAAGTGGCTGTACCATTTTGCATTCTCACCTGCAATGAATGAGAATTTCTATTGCTCCACATCTATCTTTGTCAACATTTGGTGTTTTCAGTGTTCTGAATTTGGGCCATTCTAACAGACGTATAGTGAATAAAGTTTTATGTAGAAAGATTTTATAGAGGCAGCTTTGGGCCTCTTAATATACTATCCTGTGAGCTAGACAATGAGGAGATGTGTGATTCACATTATTGAAGAGATGCTAGTAAAATCCACTGAGGCTGAATAATTTTTCTAGATCAGGGGTGGTTAATAAGTTTTTTTTTGGGGCTAGATGGCCTTTATTGCAGCTACTCAGGTCTACTTTGGTAGAGGAAAAAAAAAGACACAGACAGTACATAAATAAGTGGGCTATTATTCAGTAAAACTTTACTGACAAAACAGATGGTGG